TAAAAATATTAAAAGATGTGATGCTATGACATAAACATAATAACTCAATGAAAGATATTCTTGGAAGAGGAATTTTGTCATTAAAAAATGTTTCAAGATGATTATAGAATTAAAACTTTATTTTCTAAAAAATTTAAATATTTTACGTTCAATATTGTTATTGTTAATCAACTTATTATTATTTATAACTTTATGATTTTTTTTAATTTAATTGTTTATGGTTGAAACTATAAAGTACTTAATTTTAATGAATCATAATACTTTAATTACATTTAGATATATATAATTTTATTTGGATATAATAAAATTAATAAAAAATAATTATAAAGAATGAAAATAAGTTCAACTCACGAGTTAATTGTAACTCATTAGGGTCGGATTAAAGTTAAACTTTTCCAACCCGTCATCCGAGTTGACATAATCCAAACCTGACCCAATTTGCCCGTTTGCCAGGTATAGAAGTAAGGTCCTGAATTCGAATCGCATAACATACAAGTGAAATGGGATAAAGGATGAAAGAAAAGTAAAAGGTTCGGAATTCGAATCGCATGACATACGAGTGGAGTATGATAAAGAATGAAAGATGATTGTTTCCCGTTGTGTAACTGACAGAAAAAAAAAATCAAAATTTTAAATTTAAAAATATTAATTAATTTTAATAGTGTTATTTCGAGTTGGCCTGATTCAACCTCACTTAACTCCGTCAAATCTATATGAAATTCTAAATTAATATTTTAGACCAATAACCCTACTGGTAAACAGATAAATTAAGTCAAATTTTCCTACTAACTCCAATTTTGTCAGGTGTACTCCGAACGAACGACGAACGAACGAAAACGCGGATATCGGGTCAAAAAAAAATACAAAAAGACGCATATGGAGTGCGGCTTCGTCTACCTCGTCGCGCTCCTTCTAGCAAGGTGGGCTCTGTTTCTAAAGATCTTTTCTTGAAGAACACCATATCGGAACCCCATTTCATCCTTCTCTGTTGCTCACAGTACCCAATCGAGGTGCAAAGCTACATATCTGGGTCTAAAAGAGACGGAGAACTGAAATGTCCTATAAAGGTATTGAAATGCTACAAAGTGCGATAAAAATAAGAAATTGAAGCAAAATTTATTGTGGGTATATCTTTATTCTCATTTTCCGATTCTTTGCTTTCTGGGTTTCATGATGTTCATTGCATGAGATCTAAATTTGGTCTTTTATTATAGTGGGCCTCAAGGTTTAAGCAGAATTTTCATATTTACAAATTTTGGATTGCCAATTTGCTATTGGAGATTCTGTAGTTTCTTTGATTAAATTGTGAATGTGGGGGAGGAGGTAATGGTTCTTCAAGGAGAAGGGTACCAAAGATTCAAAGAAGGGAATTATGTTATTTACAGGCCGCATGTGAATGGTTTGGGGGTTGCATTTTCCAGAGAAATCATGGCCTATACGCAAGCCTAATATTGCCAGAGAAGATGAGAAAACAAATTTTTATAGAAAATGTTTTCCAAAATGAAGACATCTTCTACAAATCAAACACACTAAAAGGTGGACCTAGACCCATTATAAAAAAATAAAAAATAAATAAATAAAATAGAAACTTCCAGGATATCTGAGATCTCATGCTTGAGACTGTGCCACTCGGTTAGCCGCATCCTGCCCATTTCTGCGTCATTTCTACGAAGCGATGTCATAAAACCCAAACAATTTCTAGGAACCATCGAATCTATGAAACTATAAAAAGCTCCATACTACCAAAACGGCAGAACCACCCCTGCTTGTAAGAACCAATAATCTTCAATTTATGTACAGCATGACGCTGGTCTGGCAGTCGGTACTTGCTGTTTTAGTTCCCAGTATTGCTGCCATTCTGGTCCTGATTATGAATAATCATGAATTTTCTTTTAGCCACCCTCTTATAATCTTCTCAGTGTTCAATACCATTATTGTTGCTTCAATAGTCGGAAGTCGTAAGTCGCCTGTGCATGTAACCGCGGGAGACTTGCCATTTTTTTCCTACTGGTTTGAAGTTGAAGGTGCTTATGAATCAATCATTAAGGTAAACCACAAGGAAGAAGAAAAAGAAGTTTTATACTGCATGACGCTGGTCTGGCGGTCGGTACTTGCCGTTTTAGTTGTTAGTATTGCTGCCATTCTGGTCCTGATTCTGAATAATCATGGATTCTCTTTCAACCACCCTCTTATAATCTTCTCAGTGTTCAACACCATTATTGTTGCTTCAATAGTCGGAAGCCATAAGTCGCCTGTGCATGAAACTGAGAGAGATATG